GGGGGGGGGGGGGGGGGGGGGGGGGGGGGGGGGGGGGTGTTGTCCACTTTGGGGGGCCGGTCGGGACACATCCAATACACAATCCAATGAAAGAGCTCTGAGGTTGAGTTGTCAGTCACATTCATCATAGCTGACATTCATAATTGCAATGCTTATGAGGGTCGAGACCCTCAGTATTCATAAATACAATGCAACAGAGGTGAACCTCACACATGATGAAACGAGTCATTGCACAAGTTTTGAAAGTATAACATTCACAACGAAACAACTGCGTCATACACACATGACAATCAAATACACATGCACACCCGACTCTGTCAAATGGCGTGCGAAGAAACTGTTGAATCATCTGAAGCATTGAAATGAAAATAAAGGAACAAACAACAAATGAAATTGTGAGCGGTGCACCTGCTGAGCCCGTGTGTGAACAGATACTCAAAGATGTGCAATCCTCCCCTCCGAAACATCGAATGGAAAATAAGATGAGGAAAAAAAAAAAAAAACTGCATCCCTGCATAGAAATAATATACAATGGTCCAACCATGTGCACGAATACAAATGCAGCCATGATGACTGCACAAGCTACGCCTATGAACACACGACCATGATGCCCTCATCCGAAACTCTGAATCTACTATAGACTACTACGATGGAGAAATGAAACAAGAAAAAATAAAAAACAAAAAAAACATGACCCATGCATCGAAACTGTATGCAATAGTCTAACCACGTGTACAAATACAAATGCGGTCATGTTGACCTGCGCGGACTACAACTACGAACACTAAGCCTCGTCCGAAGCACTACATATAATGTACAGTAATACGAAATGGAGGACGAAAGAAGACTGATGGCAAAACTATGCATCATCGTCGTCCACAATGTCCTTCCTCCTCCTCTGCGTCACCACACCTGTCACACCATCCCCGCCACCCGTGCTGCCTGCCGGCGCGTGCGCAATACCCGGACCGGACCTCGCCCCCTGTGGTGCCGCCTCAACCCCTCCCTCTGCTCGAAGAAGGTCGTACACAGAAACCCTCCTCCGCTGGCCTTCAGGCATCTCCAAATCGTCCGTCCCAGACTCCATAACGACCGATGCATGTGACGGTCGCTGCGCTGACACTGCCCTCACATCCTCCCGCAGTATACGTGCAGCCATGCTCCTCCCGGGGGGCGCACTGTGCTCGGCGTGCTCGTCCGTACCAGCAGGTGCGCTCATGGGCTGATCCGTTGCTCGAGTCGAGGCCCTCTCCTGCCATCCTGCCGTGTCCGCGACAACGTCTCCGCTCAAAGCCGACCGTGTCCGCGGATGTAAACCGGCCAACCCAGGCTGACTCTCCCGCATCGTCTGCGTCACCCTCCTCACAGTACTAAGACTCTTCCCTTCTCTCTTCTTCTTCTTCCGTGACTCAGGAGAAGGAGACTCCCCAATGGGTGCCGGCGAGGGGACCCGTGCTGCCGCTCCCACCCTTGGACCCTCCACATGCGACGGTGTGATGGCATTTGTGGCGGACGATGGCACTGACGGGCTGCAAGGCACGAAAGTTGGACCCTCTGCCATCAACCTCCTCGCCGCCTCATCCATCCGTCCGCGGCGATCTGCCCGTAATGGGTCCTCCCATACCTGTCGCTCCAACTCCCCCACCGACATGGCCCCGCCGAGAGGCAATACACAAACACCCTGAACTGGTGACGCAGGTCTCTCCTCAGCGTCCCCTCTGCCCGCACCACCACACTCGACCTCTGCATCACCTGCCGCAAAGCCTGTCTCGAGCATCCGCGCTACACGTGCTCTCGATGCAATACTCTGCGTCATCTCACATCGCCTAGCCAACCCCTGTGCCCTCCTCCTCTCCTCGCGGTCGATCCTATCCTGCTCTGTCTCCGTCGCCGACTGCTGCACGGGTCTACGCACCCCATCACTCCCACCTGCACGCTCATGCAGCCCTGACGAACCCACTGTCCCCTCTGCTGCCTCCTGCAACATGCTACTGCTGATGTCGCCAGCGCTGCATGAAGGTAGACCTCGAAGTATCTGACTGACAGGCGTGGCCGCTGCGTCCGCATCGCGACCAACCCGCTCCGCTGCCGGTGTCGGCGGAAGCCCTAGCGAAGCATCAAAAATGTTGTCACTGAAACTGACCCCCGTATGAGTAGATTACCTCCGGACCTGCACACCCTCGGCACCAATACCTGCGGAGCCGCCTATGCCCTCCGCAGACGTCGCTGCCACCTCCGCGGACTCCGCAGCAGCCTCCGCGGACGCCACGACACCCTCCGTCGATGCCGCTGCGTCCTCCGCGGACGCCACTGCAGGGGACGGAGCAACCTCTGCAGGGGAGGGACCAACCTCAGCCAACCCACCACGTCTGGCCTCATCAAGCCAATGTACAGTGCGAGTGGACGATGCTGACTCTCGCCTCACTCGTCCTCCGCTAACACCACTTGCGCCACCTGTGTGCCCTGCACCCCCAACACCCGCCCCGCTGCCTCCCCTGCCTGCACCACTACATCGGTCGCGACGCTGTCTCTCGGATCTCCGCGAACCGGCCGCAGTCTGTCCACCATCGCCGCCGTCGTCGTCGTCGTCATCATGTCTGCGCGTCGGGGAATAACCGGGATCACCATCGTCCTCGCTGCTGCCCTCGTATCCCTCCCCCTCATCGTCATCGCCGTCGTCTCCCTCGTCGACGCACTCGTGAGCCCCCTGCTCACTATGTCCTCGACGATCGGTCGAATGCTATGGCATCGTCCTCTCAACACTATCAGTGGGGCCTCGTAGCGAGACGCCGAGGGCACTCGAAGGAGGGCGTGCGACGGGAGGCGGTGCAGCAGCCGTCGCAGACGCACGTGTGTGAGGACGCGGAATCCGGACGAGAGGAGTGTCGTCGTCGTGGTCGTCAGACCCTCCAGGCTCTGACTCCACGGCCAGGTCATCCGGATCGGACCACGACTCTGCCTCCATCGTGTCCTGAGCCATGGGATCTGGCTCTGGATCGTACACTGACTCCAACTCTGCCGCCATGAGCATCGTGGCGCGACGACCAAAATACGCCTCAAAGCTGGGAGATTCCTTTGAAAGGCGATCCTTCCACGCGCGCTGGACCTGTCGGTCGCGCTGTGCCTCGGTGACTCGGTCAGCTGGCCGAACACCCTCATCACGAGGCGGAGGAATAGCGTCGTCTGTCTCCTCCTCTGCGTCCTCCCAGGGAAGAACGTACCCTGAGCCCCTCCCCTGGCAACGACTCAATCTCAAGTTGGTGGATATCTCCACCAAACGAGTCAGCTTGATGAAACCAAGCTGGTTACGCCTCTTCACCTGAACACGCTCGTGGACGGCCCAGTTCCTCTCCGCCGGAGAGGCGCACGTCCATGTGTGTGTCAAGCGAATGGCGATACTCTGAAGGAGAGGGGCCCCGTCCCCGTGCTGCACCCACCACTGCCCCACCTGTGACGTCTCCTTCTCCCCTTTGCAGGAGGCCGCATCCCTGTCTCCCTCAACGCCCCCATACGTCCAATTGCCCTCCCGAGAATGAAACTCGGCCAGCTGTGTGCGCAACGTCTGATACAAATCCTCATTGTCGCCAGTCTGCTGGCGAAGGTATCGCAGCGACTCCTCTGCCAGTTTCCGGTCGTGACTGGTACGCCTCGCCGCTCCAAAAAAAGTGATGCTCCTGTGCCGCGGGTTGAGGATGTGGGCCATGCAATGTGCGGGCTCCAACATATGAGCGACCCGCGCCTGACAAGCCTGAATAACAATGTTGAGCTCGTCCTTCGACGTCCTACTCAGTCTCGCTCTCGCCACCCTGTCAACCATGGCAAAACCCCACGACCACATCCGAGTCATCACGCGGCCCCCCCTGTCCAAACGCCGTAGCTACTGCATCACAGGCGTCATCAGCGCCACAATGTCCTCCACGTGCTCCCAGAATGGCGCGTACCGCACCTCATGACGCACCCACCGGGCCTGCAGAAAAATGGACCTCCTCCATGCGGTCTGCAGCCAATCGTCGCTCATCATCAACGCCTCCAACGCTCTGTGACGATCCAACAACCTCTCCAGCATCAAGTAATGGGTCGCGAACCTCGTCTGCACAGGGTACACCAGCTCCCTGCCTCGCCGCTGAGTCGGAACTGGCGCAGAGCTGGAACTGCCCGCCGCCATGGAGGCGGAAGAGGGGTGGGCGGTAGAGAACCGTCGATAAAGGCTCAAAGCCGCCCCGTGCTCTCTAATGAAATGCACGACAGCTCGGGCTCTGATGATGGTGTCCTCCCTCTTCCCAACCTGCCCGTTGCGGTCGTCCTTCGCGATGTCTGACAACAGCAAGTTGCAGACATGGACCGCACACGGAAGCCAAGTGATGCGGCTGTACCTGATGTCTCCTTCGCAAGGAGCTTGGAGGCAGCGACATATGCAGACGCGGAATCAGTGCAAATGGCGTTGACCTTGTCGACACCAAACTTGTCGAAAACGTCCTTCCAACGCTCCACGACGGCCTCTGTTGTCTCCTGAACAGCACCGTCCCGCTGCACTGTCCTGAAAAGGAACGCACACGTAGGCCCAGCAGCAAGGAAGTTGACTATCTGGTCGCTCGTGATCGACTTGCGGCCATCCGTGAGGATGGTCGCTCCAGTCGCCTCAATGTCCCTGCGGACGGCCGCCACCATGTCTGCCACAACTCGCTGCTGCTGAGGAATGCCGTCGCAGGAAATGACACGGTGCGTGGGCAATGCGGGATGCGCATACGACGGACACTCGAGCAACTTCTTCCTCATGGTTTGATACTCAGGCCTCCTCGCTGCCTCAAATGGAATCCCGCTCACATACCACCACTGCAGGAAAGAGTCGGTGAAATCTCATTGCCACAACGGATCGAAGGTCTCCAGCATGGAAGTTTGTCGAAGAACTTTGGTCTTCTTCGACAAAGGAGGTGCTGATTTTGTCTCCGCAGCAGTCATCTTCGCCTTCCTCTTTCTCTTCTTCGATCCCGCAGCCTCCCTCAGCGCCCTGGCTGCCCCCTCCTGGCCTCGACGGCCTGCAACCATTAGCCCCCCATCAAGAGAGGCCCCGATGTCCGCGCCCTCATCCTCATCGTCATCGTCGTCGTCGTCGCCCTCATCCGGGGTAGTATCCACGTCGACGGCCTTGTCCACCCTCATCTTACCCCTGGCGCGCTCAGCCTCTCGCCGCACGTCCATGTCCTCTGCACCGCTGTCACCATCATCACCTACCCCCTCCGCCGCCCTCCTCTCATCCTCGCTGTCGTCACACTCCTCCTCCCCCGCGTGCTCCGTCGCCGAAGTGTTCCTGTTGTCTCGAAACCCGCGAGACCTGAGAAAGTCGAGGATCTTCCGATGGTGGCTCGGATCAAACGGGTACTTTGTCTTGTTCCAAATCTCCGCCAGCTGCTCCACGGAGACTTTGGCACAGTTGTTCTTTATTGTGAAGTGTTGCGAGGCCTTCGTCTGACTTCCCTGAAACCCTTGGCCACACAACTTGCACTGCATGAGAAAGTTCCCGTTCGATTGTGGCAGTGTCTGCCCCTTTGTGATCCACTTGAAGCCGCAGAACTTCAGCTCTGCCTCCCTTTGTTTCTCCTTACTGACAGGGACGAACGGCTGCTCTCCCCTGCCTTTCCTGGGAGCCATTGCGCACACCTAGCAGACTCAGGGACACCAAAGACTGCGCCCCCTCAAAAGCCCCGACGCCCGTGTGCCCGAACCCCCCCCCCCCAACAGGCCGCCCGAACACCCCTCCCAACCCGCAGCCCTCCCCCTCTCGGCCCCTCAGCCGCCTTTTCCCGACCGCCGCCGCCTTAGGCGTACGGGCCGTACGGATGGAACAGCCCGTGCGCACGCCCGTACGTACGTGAGGCAGCCGTACGTACGGGGGGCCCCGTCCGTGCGTCCGTTGTCGCCGTGCTGACGCTGCCGCCTCGGACCGCGCCGCCACGTGTCGCCGGTCGTCGCGCTGTCGTCTCCGCCTCGAGTCGCGCCGACTCTCTCTCTCTCTCTCTCTCTCTCTCTCTCTCTCTCTCTCT